TTAAATAAAAAAAAGGTTCATTGAATTTGGTCGGGTAGGTGTAGAGATATCTTCGTTCAAAGTTTAAAAAAAAAGAATCGACATATTTAATAGGCGTTTTGATTTTCATCTAACTTTGAATGAAGATATCTTGACAATCACTTGACCAATTCGATAAAACATTTTTTATTTGAATTCTATAGATTCATAGAATTCAAATAAAAAAAATTTCATCGAATTTGATCAGGTGGGTGTTGAGATATCTTCGTTCAAAGTTTAAAGAAAATTTGGCGCAACTTATTATTTTGATAGGCGTTTTGTAACTTTGAAGATATCTTAATGACAACCTGACCAAATTTTTTTTATTTAAATTCTGTGAATCCATAGAATTCAAATAAAAAACGTTTAATCGAATTTGGTCAAGTGATTGTCGAGATATCTTCGCTCAAAGTTAGAGGGAAATCAAAACGCCTATTAAAAATTAGAGCTACGTCGAATTTTTTTAAACTTTGAGCGAAGATAAATCTCTACACCTACCCGAACAAATTCAATGAACTTATTTTATTTGAATTCTATGGATCCATATAATTCAAATAAAAAATTTTATCGAATTTGGCCAAGTAGTTATTGGGATATCTTCGCTCAAAGTTAGAGAAAAATCAAAACACCTATCGCTGCACCAAATTTTTTTAAACTTTAAGCAAAGGTATCTCGGTAACCAACTGATCAAATTAGATAAAACTTTTTTTATTTGAATTCTAAGGGTTTTAGAATTCAAATAAAAAAGTTTCATCAAATTTTGTCAGGTGATTATTGAGATATCTTTGTTCAAATTTAAAAAATTTTTATTTTTGGTGGGGTACGATTACCAAATGTGGGGGTACGATTACCAGCCCCCATAATAATAATATCGATTATTCAAATCTCATCAACTGCGATTATGACCGCTTTAATTTTAGAGTTAATACAGATTTTTTTGATTTCTCAATCTGATTGACTGTTCTATTTACAAGAGATAATCTTCACCGGTGAAATTTGTAATACATCCATATTATTATTATTAAATCCAGATGTAACTTACGTTGGAGTTAATAGCCCATTTTCGATTGAAAATGGCACAGTATCCAAGTGTATTGCTTTAACTTGTTCAAATCTGAAATAAATATATATGCATCAATAATGGTATAATAAACAAGCTATAATGATAGAATAAATGAAACTAACCCTTTAAGTCCGTTATTTTTTCCAAGTGTACTTAACCGTTTCAAAAATTCATTGACAATAATACTATTTTTCACTAGTGCTTCATAATCTAAACCTTTAACAATTTGGCTTGCCCAAGGAATAAACATTTCTCTGTCTGGAACAATTATTGTGACTAAAAAGCGTTGATTCTGTTCGCCATGGACAAAGATTTGTGATAATAAAATGTCTTTGAGATAGATATTTTCAATCTTTTTTAAAAGAAAATTTAAGATTAGTGATATTATAAATAAATAAATAAATATATATATATATACCACATTACGACTATGGGCGTTATTTAAGGTGATGGCCCAAATTAAGCTTAATTTAGGCCAAAATTTGAAATTACACCTCTGCACGTTATTTCGCGACAATACGGTATATATATATGGTTAAAAAAATTTTTTTTTACTTACTTTTTCAGGGGCAATGTATTCACCCTGAGCTAACTTAAATATATTTTTAACTCTATCGACAATTTTTAGACAGCCACGGTCATTAATCTCCCCCACATCTCCAGTATGCAACCATCCTTCCTATGATGATATTCAGATTAATTAAAATCTATAAGCATGAACAATTTCTGATTGATAACAAACCTCATCTATAGTTTCTTTTGTCTTTTTTTCATCTTTAAAGTAGGCTTTCATAATTGAAGCGCCCCTAAGACAAATTTCACCCCTTGGATTTGGTTTATCAGTGCTGTAGTAATTTAAAGATGGAATATCTACAAGCTTGACTTCAACACTGTATTTATTTATTTTTTTTTGGATTATTAATTTAAACATGATTGATAATAATAACAATAAATAGTGCTCATTACTACCATGGTGAAGGCGCTCCTAAATGGGATGTCATACTATCACCAATAAGGACTCTTGATCCAGCTCCCGTAGATTCTGTTTGCCCATATCCTTTAAATATGTAAATAACAAATAAATAAATAAATAAAAATAAAACGTATTAAATATGATTTTTGCATACCTTGAACAAAAACAACACCAAGGGCGACTTTTAAAAATTCCATAACATTTTCGCTCAATGATGCCGCAGAGCAAAATAAAGACCTTATATTTTTGCCAAGAATCCCGCAAATCTTTTTCTCTGCCAATTTGTCCCATTCTTCGTATTTCAACTCTCCAGTTTTTTTAAAATGCGCCAACTTCTTCTGATATGCTTGTCTTGCTATCTCTCCTTCCTCACCAGGAGCATCAATTGTAGCGGCTTTCATAATTTGATACAATTTATTAAATAATCTAGGCACACTGGGAAATGATATAGGTTGCAAAACCTGGACATCTTCGAGCAATCTGTTTTGGTCACCACTGTAATAGCCAATTGAGATACCATACATTATTGCAAGGGATTCTACTATGACACCAAAAATGTGAGCCAAAGGTAAATAAGAGATTGATCGAGAGCCTGGAGCCTCATCATCATCGTGGTAAACAGAACACATCGCTGCTAAGAGATTACCATGACTTATCATTACGCCTTTAGGTAAACCTGTCGTTCCTGAAGTGTACATGATTACAAATAAATCATCAGGATGAGATGAATTACTCTCCCTAAAATGTTGTTGCCCAAGCTTTTCAATTTGTGAAAATTCATAAAGAAGGATGTTTTTTTGAGATGCTTCAGATTTTAGAAATTTGCAGGCTGGATCGTCAAGAGAATCAAGTGATATTATAGCTTTTAAGGTAGAAAGTTTTCCGGAAAGATTTAGCAGCTTTTTGATGTGTGATTTGGCGACAATTACTATTGAAGCTTCTGTATGTTTCAGACAATATTCTAAATTTTCGGGACCTTCCAATTTATTAAATATAAGTATATTAGTGTACAATTAAAAATCCATAAAACACATAGTGCCTAAATACTATACCCAGAGTTTCGTATAGTGGACAAACTATTAAATTGTATGCAGATGCACTTTGGTAAACTATTTGATACTTTTAAATAGATTTAAGAGTAAATAAATTGGTTCGTTATCAATGCTATTTAAATTAACACCAACCTCAGGACGATTAACAGAACAAATCCCAACAATAAACTTTTCAACTTGGCCATCTTTGATTATATTTGATTTAAGATGCAAAAGCCCACTTCCAAAATTTATGATTCGTTCGTTAACCTGTTCAAATGTCTGCCATATATAATCACCAAAATTTCTTGTTTTTTCATCAAATTGACGGATCCCTAAACATTCTCTATTTCTAAATTTCTTCAATGCTATTAATTTATAAAAAATTAATAACAAAATTGGCGAAATGTAAATATTAACTAATCATTTTCAGATATTGTTCATATTACAATTTTGCCAGATATCATGTAAACGGGTGAGTCCAGGAGCCGGAGATATTTTCAATTGACCGTCAGGAAGAATTGCATTCCTATAATGACCTTTTCTTTTTTTTAATTTTTCTTTAAATGCAATGTCATTGATAAAAAAAAAAAAGAAAAAAAATCAATTCACCAGTTTGTCCATCCCGCTCTGTTCCAGGAACCACAAAGGATTGTTTATTATAATTAATTCCAGGGATAATACTCATTTCGATTTATTCTAACAGCGATATTTCACACAATCCTCTTAAATAGTACGTTGCGTCTCTGCATTCCTTGCATAAATCTGGATTCTGAATTCTGAATTCTGTGTACAATCAATCTCTGTAGTAATGATATAATTTTCTTAATTTAGGATATACTATGTATATGACGACTCTCAAGAACATGAAGGCTTTAACTATCATCTTTATTAGGGTTTATGTAACGTACGTACATGCTTACATATGCTGAAGTCCTTGGGTCAAAATTGATGAAAAAATTTCTTGACCTAACCCAATTTAATGATCAGGGGCCCTTTGTACGTACGTATTGTAGTGGTCGACCAAAAATTTGCTGGTCCAATTGGTCAAACTGGTCAAGTTTATTATATAGATATAATATTTATATTATATAATAAATTATATTTAAATATTCTATTTGACCAATTTAAATTCTTTGGCCAGACCGGTCAAAATGGTCAAATTGATCCAGTCCAATGGTCAAACTCGTCTGGTCAAGCCAACACTGATACCATCGTTTATCTTGATTAACAAGTTTTAAAAAATTTCTTATTGAATCCTACACATTTGTAAAATAAAGAGGTTTTCCATTTAGATTAGAATATCGTTTTTTTTTTTTTTTAAGTTACTCCCGAGTATTACGATCTACACTCGTTTAAATTACCTGTATAAATAATTTTTCAATTGTATGATGCTGGCCGATATAGTAATTGTCGGGAAAATCATATAAAAAGCATGAATTAGAGTTGAATACTTAAACAGCTTATTTTAAATACTTCGAGCAGTAAACAATTTTACACAAACATCATTATGACTGAAAAATAATAACCTACCATAAAGTATCCGCCTTCACTAGTGAGATCGCTAAATTCATAAGACCCCCGGGTACTGTATGCAGTGTTAAACGGTATTATTAAGCCCTTTCATTTACGCACTGTAATGTTTAGAATGCTATGCATAAATAAATTATGCTAAGAATTGAAGTTTAAATAAATGTTATTGTATGCTATATAGTGTATATGTTAGACGTCACTTTCAAATTTCCGCCAATTAAATTGACGTACTGTACGTATACGTTGTTTTAAAATTGTAAAATGAAGTACGTTGTATTCTAATCCGTATGATTTTACCGATCGATAGTAAATTGTCGCGAAAATAATTTTTTTTTTTAATACATGAATATTATCAGTTATATATCGATATTTATTTATTATTGCACTTATGTTAACCTTTACTATGTTATTAAAATCTACTTTAAATAAAGTACTTTGCTAGTACAAGAAGACTTTAAATATAAAGGATATTTAGTACCAGAATGATGTAGCTCGACGAACATAGCCACGTTGAAAAGTACAAAAAGCATTGTTTTTACGACAAGAACAGCTCTTTCCCAATTTTTTTGTAATTACGTGGCAACCATTACTTCTTGTATCTTGATTAGTGATGCAGTAAAAACTTTTTTACGGCTTATGCCGTAACTAGTTACGACATAAGCTTTAGTTAGTTACGGCTTAAGCTGTAATTTCATTGGGACTATTCTACTGTATTGCATCGCTAATCTTGACCAATTTCTTGATAAACGTTCGTTCAGAAGAGGTCTTATTGGTCGCATTATGATTTGTTGGGTACTAGTATAGTTGCTAGACGAAACCTTTTTCGCATGATGACGAAACCTAAACCCCCAAAAGCGAAACCTCTGACGAAAGTCGAAACTTTAAACTTAAAATGACGAAACCTTACGCTCAAGACGATACTCTAGTGCTCCTGCTAAAAAAAAAAATGTTATTTTCAGTGAATTAACATTCACAGAGATCAGTATCCGAAATTAAATTACACGTATATAGAGTTGGTGGTGCGTGGTGCACCTGACAGTGCACCATTATATTACATTATTGTCTGATGCTAGTAGATATATCTATCTGTTTTACCACCGACAAAGATTGCCCTATACTTTCGGAATTAATCCCACTTTTTAACTTGATTACGCTCGTATTTTGTGTTCATACACTGTCTAATTGGAACTTTCGGGTTCAATTGACTTATATTATATTTCTTACTGGTAACTTATTGCGATAAGTTACCGTTAATATTATTGAGCTAAAACTGAACCTATCCTTCAAAAGTTATTTAGAAAGTTTATGCACGTGCGTATGTTATATTACACGTACACGCTCACTTATATAAAATAAATTTAAATATGATTGGCTCGCCACCTCTGCACTATGGCGTGCCAACTGGTGCATCAATTTGGCGTCGCCAAGTACCCGCACCGCCAACTCTACACGTATGCCAGCAAAATACACCAGCTCATTTTTTCTGGACAATGCTAGGGTTGTTGAAATAACCTTGTCAAAAAGCCATAGTACTCATGGAATAACACAAATAATGAATTAAAACATACTAGCACAAAATAAATTTGTA